TATACTTCTGTAGCAGTAGTAACGCAGCCTGAATGCATGACAGTGTGTGCCATGCTTTGTACCGTCCTAGAACAGGGGTTGACAGACTCTAGTCAAACCAAGGCACTTTAAAGAACATGTCATCCATGTAGTCTGATGGCACCCTCTAGAGTACTCCAAGAATCCAGCATGCTTGAGGTTTCTTCTGATTTATGAGATGATTGTGCAAGGAACTCAAACTGTTTGAATACTCAGAGAATCTACAGTCTATAGATTTTAGTCTTATGACCAAAAAAAAAGATCCCCAATGACCATGAGCTTCTCAGGTTTTGCGGTCCATTTCAGAGCTCCAGGATAGCTGCAATTGTGTTTCTAGTACCTTACAACTCATTGTACTCTAGGCCTATTTCATCATGTTTGGGGGCTTAGAAGAAAGTAGTGATGTCACTGTCAGCTATGAGTCCTTCCTTTTCTCTGTCTCCTGCCATAAACGACACTTCTGCAGCCTGCATAAGCTATGGTCAAACCCTTGAAGTTGCCATGCTTTGGGATCACTATGAAAATCCACCCTTTTGTAGAGCCAGAAGATAAGACTGGTGCTCTTCATGAAAGGTTGAACTGGCATCAGCACCATAAAAATACTGGTTTCTCTTTAAAGATATTTGCTTCATGTTTTCTTTGCTCGCTCTGCAAAACAGGTTTGAAAGGTTTCATGTCTATCACTTAAAATTAGTGAATGGTATGACTTCCTGCAAAGGAAAGCAAAGCAGTTATGTAAGTACACAGAAAAAAAAAAAAAAAAAAAAAGTTTTTCAGCTCTGGAGGTATTGTCTCCAAAAATGATTAAGCAAATAAAAACAAATAGTAACCACAACACCAAAAATGCTGCTGACTAAATTGATGCCATCAGAAATACATGCACCACAACACTACAAGATAGTACAGGCAACTAGCTAAACTAAAAGTCATTTAGATCCACAAAACTTCTAATGTCTGAAATACAAATTCACCTTGAATATTAAGGTGCCAGATTCCCCGATGAACATTGAAGTTTGGGCCTGACACGCTGAGGAAGTATTTCTTCATATAGCAGGAGTGAATACATCCATTTCCTAGAAGCACTATATTTTGCAAAATTCCCAGTTTTGCCAGAGGAGATAGGATGTCAGAAAAACATTTATAGAGCGCTGCATTGCTGTTAAACCAATACTACGTTGATAATTTAATGCTTTAATGAAGAAAAAGAATTATAACTGACACAAATTTACACATTTCAAATGTGACATTTATTCCCTTCAAATTGATACTATGCAGAGATGACCACGCTTCCATTCTCCCCTGAAGGTAACTCATATTTCTTGTGAAAATTGGCATCCAAAAATTACACTGTGGTATACAAGAAATCTAAATTTTCAGCACTTACTTTTATGCCAGTGATAAGTGAATACGAAAAGTTTCTATTGGCCTCATATATTCTTAAATATTAATAAAGACAACAAGATTCCAGTTGTTAGAACATTAGCTTGAACTATGGGAACACAAATTCAAATTCCTTAGATACTTGCAAGTCAATTACTTTCTCTCTCCTTTACTCCTCCATCTGTTATTTATAAGATAAAGGATTCAACCACCATTCTTCATTTACAATGACAGTATTTATTTTACCGCAAACATTCTTTCACTAGTTAAATTAATTAAGAGTAAGTTAGGTGCAAGCTACAAACTGGTTAGCTGGCTCTTCTGAAGAGAATCTGGAGAACATAAGGGATCACAAATTCAAAAGAAGTCAACTGTGTCATGCTATTGTGAAAAAGATTGGACTGTGTCACATAGCAGAAGTAAATAGATTGCAAGGCATATCATGTAATAAACGATACATAGTACTGGCACCAGCATATCTGAGTATTACGTTTGCCTAGGATCACTGCATGTCAAGAAAGGCATGGAACAGCTGGACACAGTCCAGAGGAAATAAAGAATGATAGGAAATTTGGAAAATACAACCACTGAGGAACAATTGAAAAAAATAGTTATTTAACGTGAAGAGGGAAAGGTCAAGGCAAGATATTATAGCTTTCCACTAAGTCAAAGAAGAAAGGACCAATCTGCTGTCAATACCTACATTACTGGAAAATAATGCATTTTTGGTAAGAACATTTCTACACTGAAAGGAAAAGTTTCATATAATGAGCAAACTACAGCATTAGAACGGATTACTGCTTTCTCATTGAAATTTTCCTCACTGAAAGTCTCTATGAGGAAGGAAAATAAGTATCTCTCAGGAATAGCAAAAGTAGTATGTTTTGCTTTTCAACAGGACGGTGAACTAAAAAGAAATCTCCATGTCTATTTTGTTTGTTTGTTTGTTTTTAATGATTTTATAAAAAAAAAAAAAAGGCCCCTCTAAACAGCAAAATGGACATTCATATCAGACATACCAGACTACATAAAAACACACCTCCATCTCAAATTCATACTCCTTAACACTACTTAATAGAACAATGATAGCCATTACAAAAATAAATCATTCATAGCACTTCATCTATATGCTTTTTTTCCTGTTCTCTGCAAGTTTAATATTCTTTATCTGTTCGGAAAAGGTATGTACTTCCCTTTCTGCAAGACAAAATAAAAGAGTCACTGAAAAATTGGTCTGGAAGGGAGGCTTCAGTTCTATCAACTAGGTATTTCAAGAAAACACAGAATGCAGCCAAAGACATGAAAGTCACTTGTGGAATCACATTTAACAGAACTTCTATCCTGAAAACAGATCGTCAACAAATACTCCCCAAGTACCACTGTCCAGGCAGTTTTGCTCCACTCTATCATAGTTTCATCAGGATCATGATCACTTACAGTGAAAGCGTTATATAAAACAATGACAAGTTCTGTTAACATTACATTAGATAGAGAGCTACAATCATCATGTGTTATAATTATTGTTTTTAATTGTATTGCATTTATTTATACATATTAAATAAATCCTTACAAAAATTTAACTGTAAAAAACCTGTAACACCTCTTAAGTATGAGGGATCTCGGATTTCAGACACATTTAATAATATCATCGTCATAATGGATGAAGCACAACTCTATCTTCAGGTATTTCCTTCAAGTATATTTAGGTCTATAAGATAACAGTAACTTGGAATTATTACAAAATTAATGTCAACTATTAAAAAACCATGTTCTATGAAAAAGGCAAATCCAATAGAATATATCATGTATAGCTATTGCCAATTTTAAGGTGGTACTCAAAGCATATCGATACATTTTTGTATAAGCGTCTTATTCTACTGTTTGGAAGATAGGAAGAGAGAGATTACAGAGTTATTAACAATTTGATAAAATATCCAATAATCAGTTAATTTGCTTTGACCCATTAAGGTACTGTAAGCAATTACTTGGCTGACATAAACAATAGTTAAAGTGAATTTACAAATGAAGTATACACATTATTATTGTTCTTGCTAATATGTTGTCATTATGAGAAAATAAATGAAGTTATTAATTTTATTCATATTTGTATTTTGGAGGTGTCTGAATATGCAAAGCAACATCAGAGACTCATCACGCTACTGTGTAAATAAACTAAGTATTTCATATAGCACCTGTCTCTATCACATGCTGTACTTGTCAAAGTATGAGCATTACTTTTGAACTACAGAAGTGTTTTAATTTAAAAATATAATTAATTCTGTTGCTTAAAAATTGGAATTAAACCATAATGGAATGATTCACATTGCTTCACAAATCATTTGATAGCTGCAATTGATCCTTTTCATTGCACGGCAGCTTAACACAATAAAGTAAATTTCTCAGCTTGGCCCACTGATTAATTTCATAAATCGTTTTCTAATGCAAAAAATCATAAATTCATAATCATTATGAAATAGCATCCAAAGTATTTTTATTTTTTTTAATATGTAAGTATTGTCTGAACTTTCAGATATACACTCTAAAAATAAAATACTCTTTACTACACAACTGCATCATTTACGCGTTTTACACAATGCTATCAGAGGAATTAAATAACTCAATCTAATATTTTTCCAGGAACTGTCAGCCACTATTCTACCCCTTAGGGATATAACTCTTTATAAGAAAATCATTTTACACGACACTGTAGCAGTTTTGGCATTACCAGCACCTCTCATATAAACCACGCTGGAAACTAGTTTTTCCTGCCAAATGCCTTTTGTACATATGGTGTTTAACAGTGCTCTGCAGGTCTGTAAGCCAATAATAATAGATGCAAGCTAACAATCTGGAGACAAACATATATGTAACACAAAATGCAGCTACATACTTTTATATATATATATATATATATATATATATATATATATATATATTTAATTACATACCTCCCACATGCATATAAACATAGATGATTTAAAATATTCTTCAAATTAATATACTAACTATAACACTTGCAAAAAAAAAATAGTTTCTCTTTCAATTTGCTGTAGCTTCCTAAAAATTAATTCTGCTCCTATTGACATCAGAGGCAGAACTTCCAATAATCTCAGCAGCATAGAATTTGGCCACAAGAAACACAAATAAGAACCATATTTAAAGACACCAAGTACATACACATTCCTAAAGTCTTCCAGCTATGCAAGGATAGACAGTGCTTTGAAACTTTGTTGAGGAAGTTAACCTTGAAAATTACAGTATAAAATAACATTTTTATATCCTACATCTTTGACTAGTTAACAATAAGCACTGTATATGATAATTATACATATAATAATAGAATAAAACCCATTAATTTATCTACATGGGGTAAGAGAGATGTACCTGATAAATGCACATTACAGGTAATGACAAACTTCACATACTTTTTTTACATTTGAACAGTCTGATTTTATATCATACTCTGAAATGAATCAGTGTGTAAAACAGTATTTAATACAAACCTTTAGCATTAAGACATTTTTTTAATAAAAATTAGCAATACAGTAATAAGCATTAATATATTGGCAGCTGTTACATAAAGTAATGCTGAAAATGCTTACCACTTTCAAAACAGGCATCAAATATAAGATGTCCTTTTTTAGGCTGTCCACAATAACCAGCTGGGAGAACAGTGTACTTGCTCACGTTCCCTGCTATGATATCATCACCTCCTATGTCACTACCTGTTGCAGTAAAAGCAGAAATAAAGCATAAGCATTAAAAAAAAAAAAAAAACAGTAAAAAACAATTGAAGGATATTCTCCCCATGCTTTTCCAAATAACACGGAATTTGCACAATTTAAAATATACACCAGCAAATGAAATTTCTTGTCAAGATTCGCTTAAGAATTTGCATAAAAGAATGGCCTCATATATTAAAGCTTCTCTAACAAATCACACAGCCTGGTTTCTTGCACTTGCATGTCTGGCAGTTGAACACTCATGCAATGAAGCCTGATCTGTATTTGAATCTAATTCTTTTGACTGGAACTCTGACATGGAGAGCTCTCTGATATTTTGCATGGATTCTCTAGAATTGAACTCCTACAGCAGCATCTTCCTCACTATGGGTACTAAGAGAATAATTTTCCTCTATCATTTTGCCCATTTTCATGCATCTTATATGAACTAAGAACCTCTGAAACTGTTAAGTCCCACTCATAATTGAAAATTTAAAGTTATTAGAAGGGAGAGACATACATTTACGGAGATGTGATGATGCAAGCCTTGCTTGCTCAGCAAACAAAGCTCCGAAAATGAACTTAGAGAAAAAAATTAAATTGTTTTTTTATTTCATAATTAAATGAGGACAAATTTTCAATACTACTGCATGATTTTTGTCAAAATACATCATTAGTGTATATATTGAAAACCTTGTTCTCACAGTCAAATTATACTGTCTAGCAAATTGCAGTGTGAAAAAAAATTGTTTCCAAGTAGCGATGAAAGAACACTGATTTTTTTTCATTTGAGAAATGCAGAAGAAAATAAGTTAATATTTGTATATTACATTATACATGAATATTACATTTTAATGAAAGAGATACATAATAATATAACTAGCTGTACATTCTGACATTGTCTCTTCACTATTTACTGTTTGGACAAAAAATGTGTAACAATAGAAAAACTATCTTCTGTGTTAGAAGAAAACTAGAAGTAATGTGTATGTCTTCAAGTGCATAAGGCATGTGATGGAATAATGGGATGATAATATCTTATTTCACTCTGATAAATAGGGCTACTGAGGCTTCTAGAAATAGACTTTTGGTCTGTACTGATTTTTTGACATTTAAATGGGTTATGGGGGATGATGAATGTGACATAAAGCTCAATTTGTTTTATTTTTATATTGAAAACTATTTCACACTAATGTTACAAGCAATTCATATCACCCCGAATGATGAAAACAGCTTATTAATTAAAACTGACCTTTCCATATATAAATGTACTCTACCTCTTGAGGCAAAACACCTTAGCTGAGGTAACAAATTATATCAATGTATGTGACACCACAGCTAAAGGGTCTGTCAGCCTTTCTATTATCCACCTATATTTTAAGAGGTATATAAATCCTGGATTAAAAAATATGTATATCCACCTCAACACTTAGCATATAAATTCATAGTCTTCCCAGGGAAGAAATCTGAAACTTACTTTCTTTGAGAATTCCTGTAACAGAACCAGGACAATTTAGACCTTTTCATATTTAAAAAATAATTAAAAAATAAAAAATAAAAAAATATAAATTAAACACCGTGTACTTTTATTTATTTATTTAGCAAAATTACTATTTGCCACCTCAAAGTTATTTGTTTTAGACTGAATAATTACCCACAGATAGCAACCTAGGGCATTTTAAGTGTTTTCTTTAAATGTAAAATTGCTACTTACTTCTGGTATTTTTAGCTATATGTATTTTACCCTGCAGAGTCTGGCAGCAGTGCTGCTACATTTTGCTTAAAGGCTGGTAACACCAGAGGCGAACTTAGACTTGAGCAAGGACTCTGTGTATAGCCATGATCATGTCACTCAATACAATTCATCCCACTGCATCATGCAGCCTGCAATTTGGAACAACAGCCACAGAAAAAACATTTCCTAAGTTCCAGTCCAGTGCCACTTTGATTAAGATCCTCCATATACCTGGTGCAACTAGTCAAGATAATGATTTGTAATCCAACACATGGAAACAAGGACACAAAAAAAATATAAATCAGGGAAAACCTGTAGATCTCCACCAAGAATACATGAGCTGTCAAGGATCAAAGTGAAATAGAAGGTGGAGAGCCAACAGACTAGAGACTGAGCTTCTGCTGGTAAATGCTCACTGTCAAGTCTCTGCTAAAAAATAATAGGCTTCTTTTAATCCTTAAAAGATAGCTGGTAAACACCACTTAGATAAAGATGAAATCAGAAGAGATGCCATTCATAATACTGCCACCGTAAGAGTGGTAGGACAAGCAGGTAGGAGACAGCTACGTCTCCCTTTCCACCTAACTGACAAATTGGACAATCTTTACATCGTGCAGAAGGAAGCTGTCAAGAAACTGTCCTAGCAAAAAGCTTTCCTTTCTTCTTCCTGGCCTCATAGTCATTTAACAGTATTAGCCTGTCCTTTGAGTTTCTTTACTACACAGTACTTTGAATATGCAGAATGTATTGTTGTATTTTGAGTTATCTCTGAGCTATTTTATTGTTATTTTGAGTTACCATCTAATCACTAAACCTGTGAAACAGCAGCCTCTGAACGTCATGCTATTACATAGCACATGAGCACATGTCCCTACTAGCATGTCCTCCTCGGGTAATAAAGCAAAGGCCTAAACTGAGCCAGCATTGCTGTATTACGAGAGGCACGGCTTCATGCTCATCTGTTCAGCGGATGCAGCAAGTGTTGCTGAGAATACATCACCGCCTTCAGATGGAGAGCTACGTTACACCGAGCTGCAAGCTCTCAGGCCAGCAAAGAGATCCTGTCCCCCCAGCTGGAGCAGATGTTCCTGACCAAAGGCAGAGATGCAACAGATAGCTCAATCTCAAACAAAAGAAAGGGGGAGAAAAGAATTAACTGAAGAACATATTGTACATTGCTCCTAAGGAGAACCTGTTCTCCTTTGAAAAAGGTTAGATAACACAAGCAAAGGCAAGAGTGACTTGGAAAAGAAATATTCTCATACTACAGGTCTTATTTTGTCAAATATTTTTCTTATATGTTGTAGGACACATGGCTACTTTACTCTAATTCTTCAGAGCTTAAACTCCCGGAGTCTACAGCAAATTCCTAGGATTTACTTTTACCACAGTATTAAACTTTAATGGCAATTTTCTATCAAGTATAAAATCTGTAGGTGTCTGAAATCTCTGTAACTAACTATAAAAGTTGGACAGTCTTCAGGTGTCTGCACTCTTCACGATTGCCACTTTGGAAATATTTCATATCAAAGTAGTGAAAATGAGCAGAATCAGTTAAAAGGGACTGGAATTCTTAGGAGGAAAAGTTTAGAAACTTTCAGAGCTTCTTACTACTCTTAAGTTCAAATGACAAAGCCAACACTTTTTTTTTTTTATTTAAGCAGAGATGAAAACAGTATTTGCTACAGTAAACATCATGCAAATTTAGGTACATTTTCTTAAAAAAAAAAAAAAAAAAAAAAAAAAGCTTCTGGAGGAAGTAAATAATAGTTATTCTCTGAACTGAGTAAACAACAAGCCCACTTCCAGCTGTGACAAACTTCAGGATCTATGGAGGTGGCAGCCGGCAGCTACCCTCATGCTACATTAAGTAGAAGGAGAGCACAGCTACATTAAAACAGACACAGAAAAAATTTCCTGGTAAACCTGCATAATTCTTATAATCAGACTTACTGCCTAACATGGATAGCCAATTAGAAAAGTAAGGTAACACGAAAAGATACAATAACTGCAACTGAACATTGTAGAAGAGTTTATTTAAATATTACAAATGACATTCATATGCCTCGATTTTTTTCTGTTATAACAAAAATATTATACATCTTACTACTGATTCTTCTGTCAATAGCTAGAGAACTACTACTGCTGTTGATAAGGTACCACCCTTTACATCAGGGTAAACAAACATGAAATACAGTTTCTGAATTTGATAATTTTCATTTTAACTTCACCTCTTCTGTATGGTCAAATAACTGCTGCTGCACTGTTCTTTACAGGAAATGAATCAAGCTTTGATTGTGAATCTAGTGTAGGCTAGCTCTAATTGGTTTTGATCAATCCAGATATTCTACTTTGGGTCAAACTGTTCAGAAGAAAAAATTATTTCTGAATAACATACCAAAATCAAGTCACTAGGTCTACAAAATGCATTGGGAAAATCGTATTATTTTCAGTGACATCATGAAACTTAATGGCTAAGTTGGTGTGTAAAGATCTAATAACAAAATTCTTGTCACCCAGGAGGTGGAAAGTGTCCGAGTGTCCCAGCAAAGATACTCATCAGCCATGAGCAGTAGAGTTATTGCAAACCCATGCAAAGAAGTGAATCTGAACTCAGCATATTTTGCAATAAACCGAAATTTGTTCAGATGGCAACACATCTCCTATTAGCTCCTAAATGTAAAAGTCTCTGAATGAACACTGCTCGAGGGATTTGCCACTAACTGTCTTCTCTGCCAACCAGAAAAATACAAAATTATTTTATATCTGCATTTGTAGGGAAAATTCCAAGAACTGTTAGTAACTCATTATGTTCTGCTGTTCTTTGAATCTTTTTAATAAAAGATTTATATTACAACATTCATAAGCTTCAGCAACAACAATATAGAGAACTTATGCCTGCTATGAGCTCTGAAAGCTCTAGAGCTATCCTAAAAATCCTATAGGCAGCAGCAGTCAAGAACTTGGAATTTAAATTTCACTGGCTTCAAAAATGCTAGGAAGAAGAAAAACAAGCATCATTTTGATCTTCACAACCACGTATCATGCAGCAAGGATTAGGAATGACCCTAAGAATCTACACACACTGCAGAGTGTTGTCAGCCTGAAATCGACTTAATTCAGGGTCACCATGGTTTGAAAGGAAATGGAAAAAAATTATGTTAAGACTAGGGTCTTCACCTTTCCAGGGTCCAGAATACCCTACATGGTACCAACCACACCTGCTGCTTCACATTCAGATACCATGCCCGTACTGTCACTTTTAACC